TGTTTTTGTTTTTGAGATGGAGTCACTCTGTTGCCCAGGCTGGAGTGCAGTGGCACGATCTTGGCTCAGTGCAACCTCTGCCTCCTAGGTTGGAGCAATTCTCCTGCCTCAGCCTCCTGAGTAACTGGGATTACAGGCACACGCCACCACATCTGGCTAATTTTTGTATTTTTAGTAGATACAGGGTTTCACCATGTTGGTCAGCTGGTCTCAACTCCTGACCTCGTGATCCACCGCCTCATTTTCCTAAAAGTTATTTGGCTGGGCATGGTGGCTTTCGCCTGTAATTCCAGCACTTTGGGTGGCTGAGGCAGGCGGATCACCTGAGGTCGGGAGTTTAAGACCAGCCTGTCCAGCATGGAGAAACCCCATCTCCACTAAAAATGTGAAATTAGCCAAGTATAGTGGCACATGCCTGTAATCCCAGCTACTCGGGAGGCTTAGGCAGGAGAATCGCTTGAACACAGGAGGCAGAGATTGTGGTGAGCTCAGATCATGCCATTGTACTCCAGCCTGGGCAACAAAAGCAAAATTCCATCTCAAAATAAATAAACAACTGTGTTTTGGCTGGGCGCAGTGGCTCATGCCTGTAATCCCAGCACTTTGGGAGGCTGAGGTAGGCAGATCACCCGAGGTTGGGAATTTGAGACCAGCCTGACGAACATGGAGAAACCCTGTCTCTACTAAAAATACAAAATTAGCCAGGCATGGTGGTGCATGCCTGTAATCCCAGCTACTCAGGAGAATCACTTGAACCCAGGAGGTGGAGGTTGTGGTGAGCCAAGATTGTGCCATTGCACTCCAGCCTGGGTAACAAGAGCGAGACTCTGTCTCAAAAAAAAAAAAGAAACAATTTTCCAAATTACTTAGTGTAAGAAAATATTTAGTGGCATTTACATTTTTGCAAATCTTCTTAATGTCTGACAGTAGAATACACTGTCTCATGTTTGTTTCTGCACTAATCAAATGTGATATCACAAATCATCTAACCTCTGGAAAATTACATTCTGTGCCAATAATTGAATGAGAGTGAAAAAGGGAAACAACATCATAGTTTCTTTTTTAGATGGAGTCTTGTCTGTCTTCCAGGCTGGAATGCAGTGGTGCAATCTTAGCTTACTGTGACCTCTGCCTCCCAGGTTCAAGCGATTCTCCCACCTCAGTCAGCCTCCCAAGTAGCTGGGACTACAGGTGTGCACCACCATACCCAGCTGATTTTTTTTTTTTTTTTTTTAGTAAAGACGGGGTCTCACCATGTTGGCCAGGCTGGTCTCAAACTCTTGACCTCAGGTAATCCAGTCGCCTCAACCTCCCAAAGTCGTAGGATTATAGGCATGAGCCACCACGCCCAGCCACATCTTCGTATTACTATGACAATATTTTTGACCTCTCAGACCCCTGAAAGGATCTCAGGAAGCCCTAGGGGCCCCAACTACTCTTTGAGAAACTCTTCTCTACAGAAAGATGTACCAAAGTGTCCTCTTATCACTGTGCTTCTGTGCCTTCACCAACACTGGGCATCTCTCTTGCTTTTTTTTTTTTTTTTTTTTTAGCCTTTACTAATTTGTTAAGCAAAAAGCAGGATCTCTTTGTGATTTTAATTTGCATTCTGAAAGGGTCATGATATTTGAATTTATATTTTTTCTTTTATAAACTGCCTCTTTATATCCTTTGCATCCTTTCTTCCTGGTTATGGGCATTTTGTGTTATTTATTGCAAGAGCATTCTTTTTTTCTTTTGCAAATGCAGTCTGGCTTTATACCTTGGGCTGGAGTGCAGTGGTTTGATCTTGGCTCACTGCAACCTCCGCCTCCCAGGTTTGAAGGATTCTCCTGCCTTAGCCTCCTGAGTAGCTGGGACTACAGTCACCTGACACCACACCTGGCTAATTTTTGTAACTCACCACCGAGAACAAGGTGATAAACATGGAGTTTATTGTACCTGTGTCAGATCAGGATTATAAGACTGGAGACCTGTGAGTCCCTGTTCCTCACAGGGGAGGAAGTGGCCCATCTGGGTGGGCCTCTTGGCCTCAAGCCAATGCTGTGATGCCCAACAGGGGGCTGTCTTACTGTACCCTAAGATGGGGCCAGTTTATACCCAAAATTTTAGCAAGGGATTTGGGTATCAAGATGTTAAAGCTTTGTTAGGGGAAAATAGGCTAAGCCCTCATGACCCATTTCTTCAGAATAGACATTTTAGAATAAGAAAAGGAAACTAGAATTTAACAATCTGACAGGATATTCTTGCTAACCACAAATTTATAGAATTATAGTTTAGCTATAGAGGTCTTCTCCTTTCTCAATTTTCTGCAGATCTCACCAGTAAATTACTGCTTGACTGCTTTCTGAAATAGGAAAGCATTATAAAGTAGAATTTGTGTCCAGCGTGACTAGGCCCAATTAGCTGGGATTTTCTCCATGTCAGTGTCGTTTCCCACATCCTTAAGCACACTAGAGATTTTTCTTTGCCAGTCTGGCAGGTGAAAAGAATGGTATAGCATTGTTTTAATTTTCATTTCTTGGATTACTGGTGAGTAAAAAGAAATGTTATGTATCTCTCAGCTGTTTGCATTTCTCCTTTGGTGAATTGTCTATTCATATCTTTGTCACCTTTTTCTATTGGGGTGTTCATATTTTTCTTACTGATTGAGCATCTTGTTATATAGTAAAATATTAACCCTTTATCATATATAGTGCACTTTCTTAATCCATCAGTTTTCTTTTAACTTTTGCTCTGCAGAAGTATCTAATGATTAAGTAGCTAAATCTATCAGTCTTTCACTTTATCATTTCTGTCTTGAAAGTCAGGCTTGGAAAGTCCTTCCCTAACTTCAATAATTGTTTTTCAAAATTTCCTTTTTTCCTCCTAGTATTTTGTGTTTCTTTTTTTTTAATACTCTAAACCATCTGAAACTTACTTGGGTATATATTATATACAATGGGAAGAGCTAATAATTTTTTTTACCAAAAATGCAGGTTCGTTGTCCCAGTGATTTTTATTGACTAATCCAGGAAGGGAAAATATGTGGCCTGAGTAAATCTGTCTCCCCATCCCGGGCCCCTGGAAGACATTTCTAATCAAATGCAGAACTCTTGGTAAAACCTAGACTAGGCCGCACAGCCGGATTAGAAATGCAAGCAACTACCTTGATGAGATTTGTCATCAAGATGAAACATTTTGTCTTTCCCTAAGTAATCTATCCTTTTCCCTATTTATGTGTGATGCTTTTATAACACCTTTTTTATTCTAAACTTTTCTGTGTTATTGACATATCTATCTTTTCCTGTGCCAGCTCCACACTGTTTGGTTATTGCTTCTGAGTACTAAATGGTAATGACTGGTAGCACTAGCCTTATACCATTTTTCAACATTTTAAAATTATTTCCTCAAATGGAAGTTTTACAGTATAAGAAATTTTTTACCCAAAATGCGGGCTCAAACAGAAGTCTGCCTCAGAATATATCAGAAAATACTTTTAAATACAAAATAAAATTTTTTTTGTTTAAACTTTTTATTCTTTTTACATCAAAGTATTTCCAAAATAAATTAATTAAAATTAAAAATTCATATTACATTTTCCAATCTAGGTACACAGTGTTTATTTAATTTAATTAATTTATTTATTTGAGATGGATCTTTCTCTGTCACCGGAGCTGGAATGCAGTGGCGTGATCTTGGCTCACTGCAATCTCTCCCTGCCTCAGCCTCCTGAGTAGCTGGATTACAGGTGTGCACCACCATGCCTGGCCAATTTTTAAATTTTTTTTTGAGATAAAGTCTCATTCTGTTCAGCCCAGGCTGAAGTACAATGGTGCAATCTCGGCTCACTGCAACCTCTGCATTCCAGGTTCAAGTGATTCTCCTGCCTCAGCCTCCTAAGTAGCTGGGATTACAGGCACCCACCACTATGACTGGCTAATTTTTGTATTTTTAGTAGAGACCAGGCACCATGTTGGCTAGGCTGGTCTCGAACTCCTGACCTCAGGGGATCCACCTGCCTCGGCCTCCAAAAGTGCCAGGACTACAGCCATGAGCCACTTCACCAGCCAATTTTTTTGTATTTTTGGTAGAGACAGGGTTTCACCATCCTGTCTGGTCTTGAACTCCCAACCTCGTGATCCTCCCACCTCGGCCTCCCAAAGTACCAGGATAACAGGCATGAGCCACCATGCCCAGCCTCTTTTCATTTTTAAAGATTCCCTTTATGACTCTGAATCGTTTCTTTATAACATCATTCATGTTACTGGTTGAGTTTTTTCCTGAATATTTTTTATTTGTGGTTGTTATTAGAAGTGGAAGTTTTGCCAGGCGCGGTGACTCACGCCTGTAATCCCAGCACATTGGGAGGCTGAGGCGGGTGGATCACGAGGTCAAGAGATCAAGACCATCCTTGTCAACATGGTGAAACCCCGTCTCTACTAAAAATACAAAATTAGCTGGGCATGGTGGTGCGTGCCTGTAGTCCCAGCTACTCAGGAGGCTGAGGCAGGAGAATTGCCTGAACCCAGGAGGCGGAGGTTGCGGTGAGCCGAATCACGCCATTGCACTCCAGCCTGGGTAACGGAGTGAGACCGTCTCAAAAAAATAAATAAAGAGCTGGGCGAGGTGGCTCATGCCTGTAATCCAGCATTTTGGGAGGCTGACGTGGATGGATCACTTGAGGTCAGGAGTTCAAGACGAGCCTGGCCAACATGGAGAAACCCTGTCTCTACTAAAATACAAAAATTAGCCAGGCATGATGGTGGGTGCCTGTAATCCCAGCTATTGAGGAGGCTGAGGTGGAAGAATCTCTTGAACCCGGCAGCCAGAGGTTGCAGCGAACTGAGATTGTGCCCTTGCATTGCAGCCTGGACGACACAGCAAGACTCCGTTAAATTAATAAATAAATTTAAATTAATAAATTAATTAATTTAAAAAATAAAAAAGTAAAAGAAGTGGAAATTTTTCCAATATAATATCTTACTTCCCACTCTGTCACCGAGGCTGGAGTGCAGTAGTACAATCTTTTTTTTTTTTTTTTAGAAAAAAACACAGAGCTTTATTATTCTCAACATCAGCGGCAGCGGTCTCTGTAGGACAGGGGAATGAGTTCTGTTGACTGACAGGGATAGGTGGCTCCTACTTGCCAGCGATAAGCGGATTCCGCAGGACCACGATGACCGAGTCCCCACGCAGGAACATCTTGGAGATGTAGCGGTCTTTGTTGACCGGCTTGGACTTCTTTTTGCCCTTGCCGCTCTTGGGTACCTAGTCCACATCTCCTTCATGTTCTCCAGCACCATGTTGCAGCGCCTATCAAAGGCCTTCACGCGGCCCAGGAGTTTCTTATTGTTGCGGCAGTTGATGAGCACTTGGGTGTTGTTCTTGACGGACTGAGTGAGCACAGAGAGTGGACCCGTGTTAAATTCCTCCTCCTCTCGCTTCTGCAGCTCCTCTGGGGTCATCTCACTCTTGGGCTTGTTGAGGAGGCTCATGTTGGTCGCTAAGCTCTCGGTTCACTCCGGTTTCCTCCGCGTTGCTGCTGCCTCAGTAGTACAATCTTGGCTTACTGCAACCTTCATCTCCCAGGTTGAAGCAATTTCTCCTGCCTCAGCCTCCCAAGTTGCTGGGATTACAGGTGTGTGCCATCATGCCAGGCTAATTTTTATATTTTTAATAGAGATGGGGTTTCACCATGTTGGCCAGGCTGGTCTTGAACCCCTGACCTCAAGTGATCCTCCCGCCTCTGCCTCCCAAAGTGTTGGGATTACAGATATGAACCACCTTGCCCAGCTTTGTTTCTTATTACTAGAATGTAAATTTCATGAGGCCACATAACTTTTGTTCATAGTAGCCACAGAGCCCTGTAATCCCAGCACTTTGGGAGGCCGAGGCGGGCGGATCACAAGGTCAAGAAATTGAAACCATCCTGGCCAACATGGTGAAATCCCATCTCTCTACTAACACATACGAAAATTAGCTGGGCATGGTGGCGTGCGCCTGTAATCCCAGCTACTTGGGAGGCTGAGGCAGGAGAATTGCTTGAACCCGGGAGGCAGAGGTTGCAGTGAGCCGAGATCGTGCCACTGCACTCCAGCCTGGTGCCTAGCAACAGAGCAAGACTGTCTCAAAAAAAAAAATAGCCACAGAGCCTAAGAAACAGTGCCTCCATATTGCAGGTTTTCAATAAAAGTTTTTAAATTAATGAAGGAATAATGGCAGGAAACAATGCTATTATCTTAGTGTTATTAATTTATAACAGGAAACCTTACTGTTTTTTGATTAGTTTTTGTTCTTTGATTAGTTCTGTTTTTCATATGATTCTCTGGTATTTTCCACATCTACAAATATTGGTATCTTTCCAGCAAGTGTTGCTCTTTTTTTTTTTTTTGAGATGGAGTCTCACTCTGTCACCCAGGCTGCAGTGCAGTGGCACAATCTTGGCTGACTGCAACCTCCGTCTACCAGGTTCAAGCGATTCTCCTGCCTCAGCTTCCAAGGACCTAGAAATACAGGCACGCACCACTACGCCTGGCTCATTTTTGTATTTTTAGTAGAGACAGGGTTTCTCCATGTTGGCCAGGAATGGCCCCAAACTCCTGACGTCAGGCAATTGTCCTGCCTCAGCCTCCCAGATTACGAGGAATACAGGTGTGAGCCACCATGCTCAGCCTTATTTCTTTTTCTTATAAGATTTTATCTAAAAAAAAAAAAAAAAAAGAAAAAGAAAAAGAAAAAAATAAGTAAGATTTTATCTAATTGAATAGATCTTCCAGAATAATCCTAAATAACAGTGATGACAGCAGGCATCTTTTCTTATTCCTAACTTTTATGGTAATGCTTCTAAGTATTTCATTGTCAAGTCTGATGACTAGAAGGAGAACAAATTTGATGGGAAGAAAATAGTGAGTTCCATTTTGGACAGGATTAGAAAGGTATTAGTGTGGAAATGTCCAGTAGTTGAATGGACATAAAAGAAATCCAAACTAGAGACAAAGATTTGGGAGTTAACCTCAGATAGATAGTAGTTAAAGCCTTGGGATGAATAATTTCCAACTGGAGAGAAGGCCAAAGATAAGAACTGGGGAACAGCAATCTCAAGGCTGAGCTGAGGAAGAGGAAACTAGGAAGAAACCATCACAGAAATAAGTGGAATTAGTAAAAAAAAAGGAGTCACCAGAACCAAAGATGAATTTCAAGGGAGAGGAAGCGATCTATACAGCCACAGAGCAAACAGCGGAGAGACTGAAAATGGGCAAGGAAGAGCCAGGCACAGTGGCTCATGCTGTATTCCTAGCAATCTGGGAGGCTGAAGCAGGCGAACCACCTGAGGTCAGGAGTTCGAGAAGAGCCTGATCAACATGGTGAAACCCTGTCTCTACTAAAAATACAAAAATTAGCCAGGTATGGTGGCGGGCACCTGTGATCCCAGCTACTTGGGAGGCAGAGGCAGGAGAATCGCTTGAATCTGGGATGCAGAGGTTGCAGTCACTGCACTCTAGCCTGGGCAAAAGAGTGAGACTCCGTCTCCAAAAAAAAAAAAAAAAAAAAAAATCAACTGAGTGCAGTGGCTGGCACCTGTAGTCCCAGCTACTCCAGGGGCTAAGGAGGGAGGCTTGCTTTAGCCTGAGAGTTTGAGGCTGTAGTGGACTATGATTGCACCATTGCACTCTAGCCTGGGCAACAGAGCAAGACCTTGTCTCAAAAAAAAAAGAAAAAAAGAAAAGGAACAGCTAAGCTAAGAGGTAAGTTGAAGGGAAGACAGAGTGGAGGTAAGAATTTGGGATTTTTAGGTGGTAGTGACACAAAGGTGTTCATAAGCTTAAGGAGAAAAGACCAGAAAACAGACTAAAGTTTTGAGAAAGAGACAGAGGGAAAAGTGTATGGAGCAGAGTGCAGAGTGCGTGGCCAGCCATGGTGGGGACACTGCTAGCTTTCTCTGAAGTGGGAAAAAAACGAGTATTTCATTCTCTGCACTTTCTCAACCAGACTGGCTGAGGAAGGACAGAGGGGACCCAGAGAATAGTGAGGGTGTCCACTCACTGAGTTCTTGGGCCTGGAAACTGTTGGGGCTGTGGATTCCAGGGTACTGAAGGACTGCTGGACAGAGCCTATGGCTCCGTCTGAGCCTGTAAAGCATAAATCCACCTAGTCAAAGAGTAACGGCCTCAAAGCTTCTGAGTTAATCGGTCTGCTTTTTGTTTTTGTTTTTATTTTTTTTTAAAGACTAGTCAAGTGCAGTAGTGAGAAGGGGCGAAAGAGTAGAACAAGGAATTCGATCTGTTACTGACTGTGAACAATCAATTGAGATAACTCACTACCTTCAGACCAGCCTGGTCTGGTTTTTGACCTGAACATCAGAAATTTTTAAAGCTCCCTGGGTGAGTCTAGCATGCAGTCATGGTTGAGAACCACTGGGGTTAAGGCATGAATTGAGACGTTTGGAGACAATCTCCAACCCTTGGTGCGAGGACAAGGAGAGGTTCTGCTGCCCTGGCTGAAGGAGTGGGGCCCTGTCTGGGTTGTGGACGTCCCCTCAGTGATAGGAAGATGAATTCCTGCCTTGTTCCTTTGGTCAGGATCTGAATTCTTCCCCAACCTCCTGCCCTAAGTGAAAACATAGAGAGCTTCCCAGACAGAGACCATCGGCCCTTAGGGTGGCAGTGAAAGGCCAGGTTCAGGAATGTGATATTAATTATGACAATCAGTATGTTCTCCCACTTAAGAACCAAGCCCTCAGCCTCGTTCTGTGTGTGTGTGTGTGTGTGTGTGTGTGTGTGTGTGTGTGTTCAGGGCTGCCTATTCAACTGAAAAACAAAAGCAGCTCTGGGTCTGAAGCTAAGGTTTAACAAGTGACCAAAATGAGTCATGCTGCCTGGCTGCGAAGGCCACAGGGCTACCACCCCCAGAGGGGCGGGGCCTGGGTGGGAAGAGTCACAGGTACAGAGGCTCCTGTGACATTCCCACTCTGCCCCTGCATAAGCTGCCTTTGGGGCCAACCAAATACTTTTGTAAAAAGTAAGACAAAAGGCCGGCGCAGTGGCTGACGCCTGTAATACCAGCACTTTGGGAGGCCAAGGTGGGCAGATCACGAGGTCAGGAGATCGGGACTATCCTGGCCCACATGGTGACACCCCATCTCTACTAAAAATACAAAAATTAACTGGGCATGCTCCCAGCTACTCTGGAAGCTGAGGCAGGAGAATCAATTGAACCCAGAGGTGTAGGTTGCAGTGAGCCAAGATCATCCCACTGCACTGCAGCCTGGTGACAGAGCAAGACTCCGTCTGAAAAAATAAAAAAATAAATTAAGACAAAAAAATGTAACTTTCTTCCTATGGTCCCAAATCTGGTGTAAGCAGACAAGTCCAAGTGAAGTTGAAGCCAGTGGATCTCGCAAAGGCATGGCAATGTTTGCACAAGGATGGGATACAGTAAGTTAAAAAATGTGGGCTTTTTCCAGTGGACTTAAGCTGGAAAAGAAGGTCTAAGCAGAGCATGTGCATGAACTGTAAGGAGGGTTCCTCAGCAGGAGACAGGGCAGCCCAGGGGCGCACATTTAGTAGAAACTTACAATGTGCAGGTTTGGGGACATGAAGGAAACATCTAACCTGTCCTGTCCAACATAGCAGCCACTTGTCACATGCGGCAGTTGAAGACTTGGAATATGGTTAGTCTGAATAAAGATGTAAAACATATGCTAGATCTTAGACTTAGTATGGGGGTGGGAAAGAGTTTAAAATAGCTCATTATAGGCTGTGCTGTGCTCATTATAGGGCGCTGTGGCTCACGCCTGTAATCTCAGCACTTTGGGAGTCCAAGGTGGGAGAATCACCTGAGGTCAGGAGTTCGAGACCTGGCTAACATGGCAACACACCATCTCTACTAAAATTACAAGAATTAGATGGGAGTGGTGGTGGGCGCCTGTACTCTCAGCCACTTGGGAGGCTGAGGCAGGAGAATCGCTTGAACTGGGAGGTGGACATTGCAGTGAGCTGAGATGGTGCCACTGCACTCTAGCCTGGGTGACAGAGAGACTCTGTCTCAAAAAGAAAAAAAAAAAGCTCTATTTCTCCATATATATATATTATGTGTATATATATTATATGTATATATAATATGTGTATATATATTTTATATATATGTATATATATATATTTTTTTTTTTTTGAGATGGGGGTCTTACATGATCATGGGTCACTGCAGCCTCAAACCTCTGGGCTCAAGTGTTCCACCTGCCTCAGCCTCCTGACCAGCTGGGACTACAGGCATGAGCCACAATATCAAGCTAATCTTTTACATTTTTGCAGAGATAGGTTCTTGCTATGATGTCCAGGCTGCTCTGGAGCTCCTGGGCTCAAGTGATCCTCCTGCCTTGGCCTTCCAAAGTGTTGGGATTATAGGTATAAACCACCATACCTGGCCAAAATCAATAATGTATAATACTTTACAAATACTGACTACATGTTGAAATGTATTTGGATATGGAGTTAAAGAAACTGTACTATTAAAATTAATTTCCCTTGTTTCATTTTACTTTTTACAATGTGGCCACTAGAAAATTTGAAATTACATATATGGCTTTTTATATTTATATTGGACAGTGCTGCACTAAACCCATCAGCCAATGAACTTTTATTGGACAACTACTTTGCCCAAGGAAACATGAAATACAAAGCTATATATAAAAATAACAGCAGCTCCAGTTTTTATAAGGTTAACTACTTGCCAGGTACTTAGCACTGATTTAGTAACTTGCCCTAGGTCAGAACCCCTGTCTGTTGGCTTCCAGAACTCCCTGTTAGCCATTAGGCCAAACTTCCTCCCTAATGGCAAAGACCTTAGGGTCTAATTGGGGGGCTCCACAGACATATGTCCTAATACAATAGAGGCTGCCAATACAAGGAGCTGGGCTGAAAACATTCAAGTTAAAAATCC